GAGGCCCTGGCTGCGGACGGCTGCGAAGGCCGCCCCCTCGGCTTCAGCCTCTTCCTTGGCCTGTGCCGCCCAATCCTCCAGAGACAGGGGCCCGGGGCAGTCCCCAGCCAGTGCGACGCACGCCGCCCACTGCGCGCCCAAGGGCAGGCCCGCGGTGGAAGGGGGCCGCGGCGCTGCAACACCTGGGCGGCGTCTGCTGCCGCTTGCGCATCCGCTGCCGTTGCTGCCGTCGTCGCCGCTGTCGCTGGAGTCCGTCGGCAGGCCGCCGTGCCCCCGCATGAAGATCTTGATGTCCTGAATGTAGCCGTAGTGCTCGTCATCGGCGACGGCGGCGACGGCCCGCGCGTCGGGGTTTGCTGGGCTCCAGGTGGCTCATGCTGCGGTGGTACTTGTCGCGAACAGGTGCTGATCCTGCCCAGCTCTCCTCGCGCAGCTCCACGGCGCGCGCCCAGCGGGCGGCTGCGCGCTCAGCGAAGGGCCTCGCCGCGCTGGGCCCACTCGCGCTGCCGCCACCCTCGCCGCCGTCCAGGTGCCCAACTTCCTGCGAGGGCTTGATTGGGATCTCGCTGGTACCCTCCGCGGGTGCGGCTCCTGCCCCAGTGCCCGATGAAGCTGCAGATGAAGTGGCCGCACATGGTGCTGTGTCGTTGCTCGTAAGTGCTGAGCCTCCTACGCCAGCCGCTGCGGGCGCTGCGAAGGAGCTGACAGGGGCCTGGATTGGGGGCACGCTGACTACCTTCCGCTGACGCGGCCCCCAACCCCATACCCGACTCTGGGCTCTCGGCCTCCTCGCATTGCTCATGCTGAGCCGCCCCGGCAGTCTCGTGCTGGCTGCGGCGCGCAAACGCGTAGTGCGTGCGCAAGTCTCCCCACTCCTCGCGGTCCTGGGCTGGGTCGGGGGCGTGGATGTGTGTGTGTGTGTGTGTGTGGGTGTGTGTGTGTGTGTGTGTGTGTGTGTGTGTGTGTGTGTGTGTGTGTGTGTGTGTGTGTGTGTGTGTGTGTGTGTGTGTGTGTGTGTGTGTGTGTGTGTGTGTGTGTGTGTGTGTGTGGGGGGGCAGCCTCGACCCGGGCGCTTGAGTGTCCGCCGCGTCCCTTGCGCACCGACCTCGGTCGCGCTCCAGCCATCGTCGGGTGCGGCGCGGGCCAGCGCAGCGCGGACGCAGGCGCCCGCGGCTGGGGGGGCTGGCTGCCGAGCCCGTTGCCCTGGCCCAGGTGGGGCCCCCAGTCGCCGTTGGCCCCGTGGGCGGAAGGCGCGGCGCTCGCGGCGCCAGGTAAGGGCCTCTTGTAGTCGCCACGCTCCTCCAGCCAGCGTTTGGACTCCCTGTAGTGGTCGACCGTCCTGTGGATCTCCTCCTCTTCGCGCGCCGTGCGCGCGCGGCCCTCGAAGTCCTGGGCCAAGCCCGTGGCGACGTGCGTCGGCAGCCCCAGCGCGCGGAAGATGCAGGGCGCGCGCTTCTCCATCCACTCGGCCTCGTCCTCGATGTAGTTGGGGTCGCTGGGGTTAGAGACCCAGCTGAGCGCCCGACGGCCAAGGGCGCGCTCGCAGCGCCCGAGCGCCCTGGTCTGCAGACGCTCAGACTCCCGACGGGCAGGGCCCAGATTGAGCCGAGTTTCCGCATCTTTGCCGCGGCCGTCGTGGACGGGCCCTCCTGCGAGAAGCCGCGCCTGGGTGAAGTAGTCGCTCAGGTGCATGAGCTGCTTGCCCTTGTAGCTGACCTTGGGGCCCTTGATGGGCCTGCCGCGCGCCTGCGGGCCGTAGGTAAAGCTGGGCGGGCCCCCGCGTCCTCGGTAGGGATCGGCCTCGTCGGGGTCGAGCTGGTAAACCCAGACGAGCTCGTCCTCGGCTCCCGCACAGAGTCTCTGGTAGGCGTCGGCCATGGCCTGAATGTCCTCGCCCTGGTCGATCTGCGCCCGCACCGAGTCGTGGTCCCAGTGCTTCTCCTGCAGCGGCCCGAAGGGGCCGAGGCTTGGGGAACGCCATCGGGCCCTTGGCCCTGTAGCAGGTGAGGCCGAGCTTCACCGCCATGTGTGGCCTGCACGGGTCGGCGCGCCCCAGGGCCGTCATGTCGAGGCGCTTACAGGCCACGGCCCGATCCAACATCTCCGCGCTGACGATGAACCAGTCGAGCTCGGACGGCGCCTTGGACGGGGATTTCCGGAATGTGCCCGCGCCCGCGTCGACAACGGGCTCGATGTTCCAGTCACCAGCAATCGCCCAACGTGCGTTCGAGGGGGGTCCCAACGTGCTGTAGCATGGCCTTGCTGTTCTCGCCGACGTCATCGTCGTCCAAGTAGACTGGGCCGAGCAGGAAGCCGCCCGGCACCGCAGCGCTGGCGTGTGCCACGGTCGCCCTGCCGTCGGGGACGTGGGAGCTCTGCTTGTTGCCGTGCTCGCCAGGGCCGCGCGCCCCCCGAGTCGGGCGGGCTGCGACGCCTGCGCCGCCTCTGACCGCGCGATGCTGAGAAGCCCACTCGGCGGCGACGCCAGGGGTCAACCTTGCGCTCCAGGCCAGCCGCCTGCGCCGCTGCTCCTGCTCCACGGCGCGGCACCCGTTGAGGTGGTGCTCCTGGGAACAGAGCGCGTCCCCGATGTGCGCCTGCGCCACGGCGCACTGCTGAGGTCCCCGCTGCTCGCCGAGGAGGGTGGCGAAGGGGCCCCGACCGCTTCCGTTGAAGCTCGCCGCCGCGAAGGTCGGGCTGCTACCCGCGCATCCCCCTCCGCTTGAGCCCCGCGGCGCGGGGCCCCTGGGGGAGCTTCCGGGCCCGCAGCCTGCGCTTGGCGGCTGCCTGGGCCGCGGGGCCCTCGGGCCGAGCTCCCGCGCCCTCTTCGCCGCTGCATGCGCCTGCTGCCGCCGCGCTGGCCTCCTCGGCGGCCTCCTCCTCCAGGATGTCCAGGATGTTGCTGACATATTCCTCCTCGAGCTCCTGCTCGTCGCCGCTGTCGCGTTCCGCTGCCGCTCCTGCAGAGGCAACTCGATGAGCCAGGCACCGAAGCTCTGAGACTTGCTACTCAAGTTGCTGTGCGTACCCCCTGTTGAGCATGCCTGAGGCTTGGTCGAGCGCCGATAGGAAGGCGGCGGCGCGCTCGCCCTCGCTGAGTGCTGCTGCTGGGGATGGGGGCGCGGCAGGCCCGAAGCCTGCGCCGAGCCGCCCTTCGCGCGGCGCTCCTTCACGCTCGCGCTTGTGCTTGACCAGGAGGTTGTTGATGAGGGCCTGCAGCTTTTCTGTGGCCTTGCTCTGCTCGCGTTTGCCTTCCAGCTCGCGCTGCTCTGCCTGGATGCTCTCGATCTCCTGCGTGGCGGTCGCGATCTTCCACTCCAGCGCCTCGGTGGTGCTCTGATGGTGCTGCTGCTTGCGTTCCAGCTCGCTGAACTGGACAGACGTGGTTTTTCCTCGGAGAGCTCGTGTTCCAACTGCTGAGCCTCCTGTCGCTTGGCAGCCAGGATCTCAGATCTCCGTCAACACCTTCGAGCTTTTTCATGTCACTACGTAGCTTTCCAAGTCGCCGTACTCGTTCGTTCTTCGGGGCCTGTGACTGCGCTCCTCCTGCTGATCGTGCGCCTGCACCGCCGCCTGGGACGGACAGAGTAGCACCTTCAAGCTTTTTGACCTTTCTGCGCAACTGGTTGAGCTCGTGTCGTTCCTTGGCGTCCAGTTGTGACATGCCATTCCACCACGAGCTTGCACCATATCCTTGTTCCCACCAGTCATATCCGCAGCTGCGGCAAATGTTCCTGGAACCCCAGTTTTTCTTGGCTCCGCACTTTGAGCAATCCCATGCCTTGGGTCATCCGCCACTTGTGTCGCCCACTCCTGGCTGACCGCTTCCTCGCCGTCCGCCTCCGCTGCCTTCTCTGCCGCCGCCGCGCGCGGCACCTCGAGCACCACCACCACGTCCTGCCAGTGGTCGAGCCCGCCGCAGCTGGGCTCCCAATCGGGCGACTGGGGCCGGGTGTCGGAAAGGATATGGGAATGAAAGAACTGTGGCCGCAAAGTCTTCGCTGACAGCTTGGTCGATTTGGAATCTGACCCAAGAAGTGACGCGACGGCTAAAGCCACCCACATGGGACCAGACATCTGCCCTGATCGCGTCATCTTGAGCCAAAACGGCTACGGATGATGCTAATGATGATGATGATGCAAATCATAATAATAATAATGATAATGATATTAATAATGATAGTACTAATGATGATAATGATGATGATGATGATGATGATGATGATGATGATGATGATGATGATGATGATGATGATGATGATGATGATGCTGACGATGATGATGATGATGATGAGGATGATGATGGTGATGATGATGGCGATGGCGTTGCTGCTGATGACGAGCTGGTTTGAGATCTAGAGAGGCAAACGCTGAAAACCAAATCAGGCGGCGAACCGCGACGCGGGAGCACACGCACGCGGCCGTGATAGGGAGGAGGAGGAGGAGGAGGAGGAACAGGAGGAGGGGAGGAGGAGGGGGAGGAGGGGCAAGAGCAATACGGCCAGGACCTTTGGCTTAGCGTGTCGCGCCGCCGGTTCTGGCCCTCCACGCCTCGGCGCGACACGCCATTCGCGTCCCAGTCCCAGGGCGTCCGAGCTCCAGGCTCCCGCCCCGCGGAGCGGAGCGACACGCCATCAGCTTGCAAGGCACAGTGTGTCGCTGGGGCCGCCGACGCGACACGCTAAACAAACATCCCCGACCGTATGTACAGGGCGACGGCGCTGGCTGGCTGATCAGCTGGCGCTGGCTGGTCGGCTTACCACACGCGCGCGACAGCGAGACGCTGGAGGATGATGCGGAGGGGATGAGGAGAGCGAGACAGAGGGGAACACAGCTCATGCGGGGACGAAAGAAGAGGGATGCGAATCTGATGAAGGTTGTGATAAAGGGGGTAGGAGGAGGAGAACAAAGAGGAAAAAGAGACACGGTCTCCGATCATTCCCACCCACCCTACTCTGCCCTCTTGTGTACCAGCAGCGGCGGCCCAAGGGCGCGCTCTCCTTGCCGTCCTTATAGCAGGTCAGGCGCCAGGAGGTCCAGGCTTCCTCGGCGCTGCGCCAGCTGAGGCGTCGGGGAGGGGTGACGCGCGGCACGGCCGGGGAAGCGGGCTCTTGTGAACTCGGAGCGTCTGGAGAGCTCAATCCCCGTCTGGCCCCGGCCAGCGGACGAGCGAAAGGCGGGATGGCCGCAGCCAGCGATAGCACGCAGCACCTCCGCCCGCTCTGCATGCCGCGGGGGGACCCGATCCTCCCCTCCTGCTCTCGCTCCTCCTGATCCTCCACCTTCTCTCTGGCCCCATTCACCCGTCCTCGCCTCCTCCTCATCCTTCTTCTCCTCACCCATACCCTCCTCCTCCTCCTCCTCCTGATCCTCCTCCTCCTCCTCCTCCTCCTCCTCCTGCTTAGAAAACGTCTCAGAAGGCCGGGGGACTTCCGAACCTTCTGAGGAGGCTTTCTCCTTCTCACTTCCTTCCCGCGCTCGCCGCCGATAATTGACTCTCGCTCCTGCACCTTCCCGTCCCCTCCTCATGGAGACGCAAGGCTCGAGCATGGGGGACTCGAACCAGCCTGACGAGGCTGTCAAAAAATGGCGGGGCCCATATCACAATTTTTTGATGCACCCACCAGAAACTTTGTGCCGGTGACCTGCTACTCGGAAATCTGCAAGCGACGCGGGGGACGGGGGAACCAGGAGGAGTGGAAGGAGACGAATCCCTGCCGACCCAACATGGACGCAACCGACGCAATGCTCGAGCATGGGGAACTCGAATCAGCCTGACGGGGCTGTAGAAAAATGGCGGTGCCCAAAGCAGACATCTGGCGCAATCTCCCGCTGCAAACAAATCCAGAAAACCGAACCGTCTAAATTTAGTGCTTTCCACACAAGCACCGCATCCTTCGACAAACCTCCTCCAACTCACACATCAGCTGGCACTACGAACCAACTCGCCTTGCCACTGAACTTATGCCGATACCGTCTACACGCGGTGGGCAAAGCCGAGATCTGGCCAACTTGAATCTTAGGCTTCCCCGATGGTGGGCCCAGATACGTCTCAAGTGCACTCCGTGCGCCAAACTCTCCCCCGCCCGATGTCCATCAATGCCACCAGCAACCCGATCATCGCCAGCTGCCGTGCCCGACCCGCCAGCGCCTCCGAGTGCCTGCGAGGCGGTGGAGGCGGGAGAGGCTTCGCAGGGGGGGGGAGGGAAGGGGGGTACCGCCCCCTCAAACAAGGCTCGCGTAAAGGTTTTCGAGGCGTCGGACTCCCGTGGACGTCCTCTTCTTCTTCTTCTTCCTCCTCCGTCTTCCACAGGGTCATTTTGAAATCTGCATCTGGAGGAATTCGTTTGTAATCAGCCACAGAAGGGGCCCTACTGTATTCCGCTAAAAGAAAAATTCTTTTGTGGCGCAAGGGGGTGGGTCTGGGCGACGAACACAACCCCAAAAGAGAAAAAGACAAAAAGGACAATTTGGGAAGCCAGAAACGCTGTGTTGGAAATTAAAACATGGTTTTTCAGTAAAAACAGGAAACACAAAAAAGACAATCTGGGAGCACGAGAAACCTCTGTTTTCACAGTGTTTGAGCAATTCCGGATTGTTTCTTATAGAACTATTCGCGCACACCCACACACACACCCACACGCAATCGCACTCACACGCACAAGCCGCCGCTGGGCCGCGCCACACGGTCCTGCTTAGGAGCGATGGCACGGCAGTGGCCTGCGGCTCGAATCCGTATGGGCGGCTCATCCTTCCAGCGCTGGTTGCGCTCCTGCCGATCTTGTTTTCGATCCCTCCCCGCCTCCCTCCCCCCCTTCTCGTCCTCGCGCTGGAGTGCCACGCCGCTCCGTGCAAGCACCCGTCGATGGCGGCTTCGTGCGCTTCGCGTGCGCTGTCCGATCGGGACCGTGCCTGGAACTCCGTTCAGCGGTACAGTCGGGGCGTTGACCTAAGGAACCCTAAATAAGGAACGATGCTTCTTTTTTCCATAAGTAAACCTTCGATTTCCTGCCGGAAACATAAGGAAAGCCTGAGGCAAGCTGCGAAACTCTTAAGGAACGCGGAGCCCCTCCCCAACGAAAAGGATTCCTTCTTCAGGGCCCCGACTGTAGGTGCGACCAGCTGCTGACCCAGCCTCGCGAGGGCAGGCTGGACCTCGGACACGGCCGGAGCGACTCTGCGGTCGACGAGACCGTCCCGAGCATCCCCTCTCCTCCCTCGCTGCTTCCTCCTTCCTCCTCCTCCTCTTCCTCCTCCTCCTCCTCCCACCTACCTCCCTCCTTCCCCTCTCCCCTCTCCCTCTTTCCCCCACCCCCCTGTCCCCTTCTCTCCGCCTCCCTCTCTCGCCTTTGCACACGCACACACACATGCGCTGAGTGGAAACAGAAACACGCTCCCTCGCCCACCCGCGCTCCCACATGATACGAGAAGGCTTGCGAGGAGTCGCGTGGCGCAGGTGCCGCCCCATCGCGCTGCCCTGAACGGGCTGGTCCACCTTCCAAAACCGACAACGGCAACCACGGAGGGCCGCACACGCGAGCGCGTCCAGAGCCGGATGTTGCCAAGCGAGGGCAGCCAAGATCCTGGATCACCTGGGGAGACCAAAAGGTGCCTATACCGCTGCTCCACGGTCCTCCCCTGGGGTGCGCTCCGACCAGGATTTTTTGAGGCGAGTGCAGCGGTGGCGACGATGGCCGCGCAGGAGGCCCCCCAAAGGGAAAACGATCGAGGGTCTACGGACGGACCCTGGTGAATCCAGACCCGGGCCAGTCGGGCCTTGCAAGATCCTGCAAGATCCCGCATGATTCTGCCGAGCCCTGCGCCCAAACCCGAGTCAGTGCACCCCTGGCCCTGCAGTATCTTGCAAGATCTGGCGCTCTGACTCACCCTGTTTGCCTTGACCGTCGCCTCTTGTCGGGATCCACCAAAAAGGGGGTGACCCTGAGAGGGGCATGAGTTCGATCCGTTTGTGCACCGAACTGCCGCAAACAGATGCCCCCCGCATGCCCCACCTATCGGCAACTGTCGGGAGCTGCGGGCGGCTGGGGAGCATCTTCTGGTTTGGGCGGTCCAGCATTAAAACCGATCGAACTCCCCCCCCCCCCCCCCGGAGGCACAACCACCCTTGGCGGGATCCCGATCTTGAGCCCCGAAACGAGACGAGGGTCGCAGTATCGGCACTTTCTCCTCCTCCGACGAGCGCGTCCGAAAGTGCTGGAGAGGGGCGCGCGATGGATTGGAGGCCTGGACATTGGCACCAACACCAACACAGGGGCTTGCCTCCACAGGGGGAAGATGATCCTAGATTTCGGCGCTGGTGGTCATATTGCGGCCACCTCGGAAGCCAGAATTATCACCACCATCGCCGAGGTCGGGATTCTCTTCCCTCGGTGGAGGCACACCGCCGATATTGGTGTTGGCGTCAACCTCTACAGTCGGGGCGTTGACCTAAGGAACCCTAAACAAGGAACGAGGCCCCTTTTTCCATATGTTAAACTTCGACTTCCCATCGAAAACATAAGGAAAACCTGAGGCAAGCTGCGAAACACTTAAGGAACGCGGAGCCCCTCCCCAACGAAAAGAGTTCCTTCTTCAGGGCCCCGACTGTAGGCCTGCGAATGGAGCCGCCGCAGCGGCGCGGGGCCCGAAGCCTGGCGGCGCAGCGACGCGCCCGCGGCACGTCGGCCCAGGCCCGCAGCGCGAGCCGGAGGGCGATCTCGAGGGCGCACCTGGGCGCGCCGCCGCGTGGCGGCGCGGCCGCCCCGTCGCCGCAGCGACTCGCTCCTCCTCCTCCTCCTCCTCCTCCTCCTCCTCCTCCTCCTCCTCCTCCTCCTCCTCCTCCTCCTCCTCCCCCTCCTCGCTCCTCCCCCTCCTCCTCCTCCTCCTCCTCCTCCTCCTCCTCGCTCCTCCTGCTCGTGCCTCGCTCCCTTTCCTCCTCCACCTCCTCCTCCTCTTCCTCCTCGCTCCTCGCTTCTCGCTTCTCGTTGCTCGCTACTCGCCCCTCCTCTATCCTGCTTTTTCCTCCTCCTCCTCCTCCTCCTCCTCCTCGCTCCTCGCTTCTCGCTCCTCGTTGCTCGCTACTCGCCCCTCCTGTTTCCTGCTTGTTTCTCCTCCTCCTCCTCCTCCTCCTCCTCCTCGTCCTCCCCGAACGCAATACAGCAACGCACGATAGAAGGATTCGCGGTAAGGATGCGTAGCTCTCGGAAGGCCATGTTGACGTTTTTGGGGCTGCGCTGGCCGGCGAAGGTCTCCATGGATGAGCCGAAGAGGCAAGGATGCAATAGTAACATTGGATGATCGCTCCTCTTTGATACAAAACAATCGAACTGCTACGGATGCCAGAACGGCCGATTCTCCTGATACCCCCTGCAGTTTAGCAATGCCAGAGCAATATTGCTGCGACTCGCAGATGCCAGAACTGTTGTTTCGATTAACACTTCTTCGCAGCTCAGCAGCACGAAGGGGGTCCTTCGGAACTGTCTTGCCGGTACCTGCGGAGGCCCCAGGAGGCCCAGTGAAGAGCAGGATGAGGACCACGTCGTAAGAGGTTTGGGCTGTGGTGTAAGACGGTGCACCTTCCTCGGACGTGACCAAGCCCCTTCCTCGGGCGTGATCTTCCCCAGAACCAAGGGGGAAGGAAAGGAGCTAAGCGAGCGGCAAGAGCCAACTACATTTTCTGCAAAGGAACGCGCGGAGCAACTCGCGTTGACATGAGCTGCGAAGCGTCGGCAGGCACAATCCGGCATCGAGCCAGGATCGTGCTGAAAAGTGGCGACAGGGGCTGGGCTGGCCAAGTGCCAGCGACAACCCTGCGGGGTCCCTCTGACAAGGACCCGAAGACGCAGGCAGCGCAAGGGAAATAGTAGTATATTACAAGCGAAACGCAAAACAAGATGTACTCATCCCACCGCGTGTTTCCACGCCAAGCAGAAGCGTCCCGCTGGCTCGTCATGAGCCAGGCCCAACCTTTGAGGTCGGAGCCCTACATGGAGGATAAGTCTTCAACTCGTGCATCAAGGATTGCATTCCCGCCATTACTTGCAACAGCAAGTCCCGTTCAATACTGCCATCGGTACTTCCATCGGCAGTCATATCCCGTGTATCAGACCATTGCATGCTGTGTACCATACGTCTATCCCTCATCTGATTTATCAAACTAATATGTCCTAGCAGTGTGCACTCTGAAGGATGTGTGAGGCTCTTGCTGTACAAGGGTTGGAATACCGACTCAGCATCGATGGTGAGGGTCGCTTTGATACAGAAACCGCCTATTTCATACATATAATATATATGTATATATATATATATATATATATATATATATATATATACAGACGTGTGTATGTGTTTGAATTGTGTTGGTGTAAGCGGCCCCGCCTTTAACTCATGCAGGGTAACAATGGTCGGGTAGCAGTCCTCTAAGTTATGGGCTGCTGCTAGCGTATCCGCAGGGTACGCTTTAGCAACCCGCCTGCTCGACCTGGCCGTCTAGGCCTGCCTTCCCGACCCGCCCGCTAGGGTCTACCCACCCGATTTGCCCGTCTGGTCCTGTCACGTGTTCTCTGCTCCTAGCCTCCCTCCTGCTATTTTCTCTCGTGCTCCATGATCCCCCCTCCCCGTTGTCCCTTCCTTCCATCCGTCCTCTCTTTCCCTGCCGTAGGGGCTGCACGAAATACAAACATTTCGAATAATCATCAAAGTGTTTAAGCCCCCCACCCCTACCCATCTAGAAAATAACATTGCCATTTCTGTTCGGGCAGGTGGCCCGCCTGCAAAAAACGCACGAACGCAATTCATCGCAGGCCCACCCCCTCAACAGGACGAGCGACAACAGGTGCACTGTGATGATGAGGCATTCCTCGCCGCCGTCGTGTAAATGAGAGAGATCCTTTTGACATCGCGCCGCGACCCTGCGGCACCTGTGGAAAATGCTCCAATCGTGTTCGGATTCGGCACATTCCCTCTTGTTTCGCTGCGCGCAAGTCGCATGGCCGCCTTCCGCGCCGCCTCGGAACAAAAGGTATGCCTACGGCCCCGAACGTCGCGGCCATCGCGCGGCCCCCCGAAACGACACAGGACGGCCCACCAAACGCTGGAGCGGAACCCGTCCAAAACAGCCATGTCTGGACAAGAGATATGTTCGGCGAGGACACCCTTCTGGAATGAAGGGGATCAATCATCGTCTGGGCTTTCTGAGCCAAATCTCGCTTTTCGCGTGTTGCCTGTAACGTGCGCAAAAAAACACACCAATTTAGACCGTAAGTTCAGTGTCTGGGCGCATTGAAATTAAATAGCTGGGCGGCTGTATAAACGCGTCGGAATTCGACAAGCGCCGCCCTGGCCGACCCGCCGCGGGACGGGCTCGTCGGGCAAAATTGGAGGGCAGCACGACGCGCTGAAGAAGAAGCTGCGCCTGAATGCCTGGGCTTTGCCATCGACGAGACAGAACAAGCAGTCCCTCGGCAGCTTTCCGGCCAGCCAGGGCGCACGCCATCAAAGCGCATTCGTCGGACGCGCGGGAGACGCCAAACAAACGTTCGCTGTGCCGCCGCATCCCCACCCATCCATGGCGTAGGTCCGACAAGCAGGCAAGCAACTGCAACGAGAACCACGTTCGTGCCCGCTCCCTGATCTTCGATCGAACCGCCACAGGACGGGCCGAAAAAACCCTTCTAAGGACCCCCGCCTAGGATAATCTAGAGGGGCAGGGGTGGGGGCCTAAAAACTTGGATGAAGTAAGGAAGATACACCCCGACCGAAAGGTGATACGATCGAAGACGAAGAGGGCGGGCATCGAGGGTTTGGGATATACGTGTTGAGTGGCATGCGAGCACGGAAGAGCGAACAGTCTCAAAATGATTGTTGTTGTTGGTGTTGTAACTGGGCGGCAGGGGCACAATCCGAGGATTCATACTTTCCCATGTAAGAACCAGGGTGCGAGCCCGGGAGGGGCAGGGGGTCAACAATGACCAGCATATATACATGATAGCTCAGTAACAACAATCATGTTCAGACTGTTCGCTTTCGCATGCTCTCGTCCCAACCAACATGTCTCTCCCAAGCCCTCGATACCCGCCCTCTTCGTCTTTCATCGTGCCCCATGCGGGGGATAGTTTTCTTCACTGCTATGTGTATTTGGCGCAGCCCCAGCACAGCACTCGCGCAGGAACCCCACTGTGGCAGAAGCAGGCGGCACACGCACTCGCGCAGGCTTCTTCCCGAGACGGAGGCGCCGTGCGCGCCAGCGGACTGGGCCGGGCCACGCACACGCGCGCACACACTGCGTGCAAGCCTCTGCGCACGTGTCGCGTATAGCAGCAGCGCGGAGCTGCTTGTGTGCACGCGCGCGCAGCCACTCGCGCGCAGCAGACATGCGCGCTGCGGTGGGTGTGGAGGCGGATGCCTTGGAGAACCAAGGTGGCCGTGCGTGATCTCATTGACTCAATCTGATCGCTTTTCCGCCTCCCACTCCTCCCTGGAGGTTCCCGGCGGTCTCATGAGCCCCTGTAGGCCTCTACGGCGGTCTCCAGAAATCCCTGGAAGTCCCCAATTGCAAAAGAGCAGCTGGCCGCGTCCAAGAACCTCCGCGTCTTCCCGCGCTCGTTCCCGCGTCCGTCGTTTCCGTACCCATGGCCTTGCAGGCTCCCCAGCCGTGGCCCCAGGGATACAGGGCCACCTCGCGCGGGCGTTCCGCGCGGCACGACTCCATCGGAGCACGCATCCACAGGGTCGAGCCTCGGCGTCCAGAACGGGAGGGCGAGGAGCGTGAGGGCGCTGGCGGTGGCACGAAGGCCTGGCGCGCCGCCCTGGAGGCGCGGCTGCGGGCCCGGCTGGAGGGGCCAGACTAAATTAGTTAATTCAGTGCACCTCCTCCTCCTCCTCCTCCTCCTCCTCCTCAGCCTCCTCCTTCTCCTCCTCTCTCCTCGGCCGCGGGGCGCCTTGTTCGCATGGTAAAAAAAGGAGGTGGACATTGTCGATGAAATTGGCTCAAATTCGATTCCCAGACCCCTCCCCAGGTCCATCCGGGTGCATGTCTTGCCCCGACTCGAGTTCCGAGGACCCTGGGCCCGGCAGCGGCCCCTCGACGCCGAAACTGCGGAGAGCCTTTATCCTGTATGTGGTGTTGGTCGCTCTGCACGCGGACCTCATCCTTTCTCCGTTCCCCCCCAGGCCCCAGGCATGGGAGCAAGAAAAGGCGACACCAGCACCACCAGGGCGAGGAGATGCGAGGAGGCAAGAGGGGTCTCCCTGCTGGTGTGGTCCCTCCCTCTCGCTCGAGACACATCCAGCCTCCAGTTCGGGGAGGCATCGCGGACCTCCTCGCTGGAGGTGGACTCCCCGGTGGTGTTGGTGGCTCCTCTTCCCCTCCCCTGGCCATCGCTCGGACGTCCATTCCCTGTGTATTTTTGATTTCGTGCGTGGTTTTTCCGCCAAATGATCAAGGATGCTTCTCGATGGTCCTCGCCGAAGGAAATATGCACACGTCCGAGCGATGCCAACTCCCAAGGCAGCTCCCTGGGTCGCATCGCTCGCGCGTGTCCCTGGTGGCCTGTCCAGCATCCAGGGCGCCCGCGCCGGCCGCACGCCGGCGGCGCCCTCGGAGGCGGGGCGGGGGGGGAGGGGGGGGGGCACGGGAGGCGAGGAGGAGGATCTGGCGCACGGAACATGGAGTACAGTCAACCCGTATAGTAATGCGGATTGACGATATAAAAAATGGGACAGCACGATTAAACACATAGTTTTCTGCAATTTCTGTATAACTTTCTGACTGGAGGAGAACGATTTAAAACATAGTTTTCCAGCCCGCGGCCGGTTTTTTCCAATCGTCATCCCAGGCGCCGCCGCGTGAACACGACCCCCGGTCATTTATTAATCGTCATCTTCCATTCGGCGAGGACGAGGATCTGGCACATGGAACATGGAGTACGGTCAACCCGTATAGTACGGATGCGCGGTGAGGATGCAATGGCCCTGGACGCCCATGTCGAAGTTTTTCGAGCGGGGCGAGGCCAGCGAAAGTGGCCAAGGATGGACCGAGGAGGCAAGGATGCAAGGGTAATTACCCTCGGGAAGGTTGCCCATCCTTGCTATGCGGGTTGACTGCACGTGGATCTGGAGCCCGGTCGCCAGATCCATGGTTCGGGGAAGGTACCCCCGAGAAACGGCGCCAATGCCGCCTGACTTGGTGGCAGAGCGCGCCGATTCTGTGGAAGCGGGCCCCGCCGCTAATCAACAGGCCTTCATCCATGCTGATGTTTCCTCGAGAGGAATGGGGCCAGCGCTGGCGAGTGCGCCGCCAAAACAAGTCCATCGCTGCCGCGGAGACGTGTCTTCTTGGGGCCCCGTGGAGCCTCCTTAGGCCCTCACCGGGCCTCCTCGAGTACCCAAGAGGAGGCAGGAGGAGGAGGAGGAGGAGGAGGAGGAGGAGGAGGAGGAGGAGGAGGAGGAGGAGGAGGAGGAGGAGGAGGAGGAGGAGGAGGAGGAAGGAGGAGGAGGAGGAGGAGGAGGAGGAGGAGCAGGAGGAGGAGGAGGAGTAGGAGGAGGAGGGTGAGGAGGAGGAGGAGGAGGAGGAGGAGGAGGAGGAGGAGGAGGAGGATCAGCA